CTGTAAGAATGCAAACAAGGCACTGAAGACCATGCAACTTGCAATGGCATAGAGACAAAATTAAACCATGTGACGAGAAGTTAATGTATTTGAACATATTATCTGATAAAAGTAAAGAACTCTCTTTACTTTAGCTTGAACGATGTTATGGGTGATTTTTAATTACCAGAGAGTCAAACATGTCATTGTGTTCATTTAAAAAATATTGTGTTCACTTATTTGCTATATTTTAAAAAACAGCGTTGTTTCAAGTCATTGATATAATTTGCCCGCAAATTATAGCACTAATAATATGATAAATGTTCTTACCCGTTCAAGTGATACACTTGTAAAGAGACAAGCTCAAATCCTTGCTTCAGCAATATAATGATCATTAGAAAAGCAGTGGACATCTGAATTTTATTTAATGTTCCATAAGATTGTAAGAATGGAAGTAAACACATAACCATAAGGGAGCTATAAGAGGAGGGGGGAGAACATGTGGGAGTTAAGAAGATTGAGTCAGGGAAGAATAGAGGAGAGCAAGAAAAGAGATACCTTAATAGAGGGAGCCATTATAGGTTTAAAAAGAAATTATGGAAATGTCCAGAGATATACTAGGATGACTCCAACTAAGAATCTAAGCAATAGTGGAGAGGCTAGCTTAAATGCCCTTCCCCTATAGCAGATTGATAGTTACCTTATATGCCATCCTAGAGTCTTCATCCAGTAGCTGATGGAACCAGAAGCAGAGACCCACAGCTAAGCACTGAGTCAAACTCCAAGAATCCAGCTGTAGAGAGGGAGGAATGATGAGGAAAGGGGTCAAGACCAGGCTGAGGAAATCCTGAGCTGACCTGAACAAGGGTTGCTTATGGTCCTTAGACTGACAGCTGGGAAACCAGTATAGGACTGAACCAGGTGCCCTGAACGTGGGTGTCAGTTAGGAAGCCTGGACAGTCTATGGGGCCTCTGGTAGTGGAACAGTATTTACCCCTTTTATACAAATGGACTTTAGGAGCCCATTCCACATAAAGGGATACTTTCTCAGTCTAGAAATATGGGGGAGGGCCTAGATGATCCCTCATGGAAAGCCTCACTCTCTCTGGGGAGCAGAATAGGGATGGGATAGGGAGGGTTGGTGGTGGGCATGGGAGGATGGGAGAGGGAACTAGGGTTGATATATAAAATAAGATTGTTTTTAATTTAAATAAAAAATGTTTAGTGTTTCTTCTAACTGGTGTTAGACAGGAGTTCAAAGTCAGAAGGTCTCAGGGTATTGTTTTCTCCACACACCAGGATGAGCTTTAGCAAGCAAATATACTTATGTCTGCAATAGGCTTTACATTCTAGTCATAGTCACTATATGTAAAGTCTCATTGTTAAGTTAAAGATATTAACACAATTTTACATTGGTACTAACAAAATATTTGGTCTACATCATATCCAAATTGGGCACTCAATGGAATATCTATTCACTCTCAAGGAAAAGCAGGTTGTGAAAGAAAAATTATGACAAGTATTTCTGAGACTGCAAAGCAGAGAGCTAGCTGCTTTTGCTGGCACAGCCTCTAAAGATGATTTTCAAAGGTCTACCAGTATGCTTAGATACATGATAGATAGAAGTATAGAGATAAACACAAAATTCTGTGAGTTGACTATTCTACAACTACGGTATGCTCCAAAAGTAAGATAAACAGTGAATAAGCAGTAGCATGTGATCTACATGTGTTAAAGCATGGGACAAGGTAGATGAATGCATTCTCAATGGGGCTTGAATGTAATAGACTGTAGGGAGTATATAAAGCTGAAGAGCACAATACAAAGCTCATAGGTTAAGGAATCCTGATTGCAGTAATTCACTGGAGGTGTGCAGACCAAGAGGAAAGTTATGAGATTTCTGATTCAGTTGGAAGTTACCCAAATCCAATGCTGCTCATATCAGATGCTTGGGATATTCCAGGAAGATGGTTAGGATGTGGATTCTTATAGTCATACTATGTGCATCCCTGTGTGCATACAATTGCATGTGCATTGTGTGAGTATGTTCTTGCAGGCCAGTGTACAGCATAAGAAGTCATTCCTCACATGATATCTATCACTTTCTTGAGTCAAGGTCCCTGTGTGAACTGGACCTCTACAATTAATGTATGCGTGATAGCCAATGATATCTAGGGAATCTGATTACATCCATTCTTTCAGTCCTGAGATTACAAATATGTGCTACCATGCCATGCTACATTTACATGGATTCTGGGTATTGACGCAAACACTTTGTTATGAGAGCTATTCCCTAGCCCCTAAAATACAAGGTATTGAATATATGTTTTGTGTCCTTGGATTGTATAGTAAAACATAATATATAATAAATCATATTTGATTATTCAACTATTTTTTAAGGAAATTTTATATCTTGTAATTATTTATAGGGTAAATTGACTTTATTTTGCATGATGATAATGACATCATTTATTACTATACAGTAATTATTAGTAATGACATGTAATATTCTTTCTCCATGTTAATATATTAAATAATCAAAAAAACCCAAGATACTTAGCATTTCAATTCTTTTATCATGTAAACTATATTGGTTAACATTTTTGAATAAATGAATTGCAGATGCTCAGTTCTACTTTTTCATATATTTCTTCCTTTCTATCTCTGATGTCAATGCTTGCCAAGTCTCCAGTGATGCTTTGCTGTTTCTAGGATGCCTGCAGTGATTCTGATCTACATTAAAATGTTTCTGGATACTTTGCACACAGGAAATACAAAGCATGGAATTGCTGACTGGAAGGCTAGTATCATACCCAGAGCTTTGAAGGCCTTAATCAACCCTATAGTCCTCATGAACCCTTCTTAGTGTGACATAGTAGGTTAACTGACACCTAAAAGAAAGCAACAAAAGAAATGAATATCAATTTGGTGATGTCACTACACGTTTGGATTTTCTTTGCTGTATTTCTCACTGCATCATTGTATGGGGCAGTCATGTACAAGAGTCAATGTGAAAAGGGAACAAGAAATTGCACTCTCACATGTGGAGGAGTTGGTCACACCCACTCTCTATAGTAGAAACTCCCAATAAAGCCACAGCTTCAGGCAACAACTTTCCTGTAATTTCCTGAGAGCTATATGAGAGGCACCCTGCTGAAAATCAAAGGTAAAACAGCCAGACATTGCCTGAAGCAGGGAAACTGATGGTGACTGACAACTGAGAAGATTCTGTGCTCTACTCCCATTTGTGCAGTGATGATTCAGCATTTTAAAGGGAAAACGAGGGAGGGGGGACCAGACAAGCTGGGATCAAATACAGAGAGGAGGCACATCACAAAAAAAATTGGTCAATGTAAATGTGATGGACCAGTTGGATACCTGGCAACAGAAGAAGGCAGGATTCTGTTCAGGATACAACTCAGGGGCACTACCTTACCTATGATCATACTTCAGACAGGAAGTGTTTATGTCCTTTACAGACATGCTCTAAATTATAGGGGCTACAAGTCTGTCTGAAAGGGACCAAAGGTCAATTCATGGTTCTAAGCCCTTTTATTAAGTGTTCTGAAAAAGAAGAACACCTTCTGAATGCAGTTTTTACTAGGTCAGAAAAGGAGCATGAACACCGTAGGATGCTACTTGAAGATATCCTAGAGTCCGGTCTTGTCCTGGTGCACAGGTTTGCACTAGAGTCTGGTCATGTTTTAGTGCAGAAGTTTGCACTTTCATAAGCATCTCTTATATATTTTACCTCATCTCACAGAAAATTGGAGATATCAAACACCACACACTGTATTAAATAGCTGTATAGTAATAATTTGTATGGGTTTGTTCCAGTAAAAATTGGGTGCAAATAAACAAAGTGAAAGAATGTTTTTTAGAAAATCAGAATGATATCTCAGGAAAATTTTGCAAAAAAGCCAAGTTCACAGGACACACTGTGTGTTTCTGCACTGAAAAAGTTGCTAGTGAGGCTTCAAGGAACCTATCAAGTATTTTATGAATATGGCAACATAATGGAATTGTGTGATACTGTCATATAAAATTTTGTGGAAAAATTGACTGAAAGTATATTCGATGCACAAGTTAGAACTTAAAGTATTTTATTAAACAAGGTTCACTAGTGGAATAGCTTGTGGTATGTATGGGAGGAGTTCATCATGGTGGTGGTGGGGGTAGTGGTGGTGTGTATGTTTGTGTGTTTTTGTGTGTGTGTTTGTGTGTTTGTGTGTGTGTGTGTGTGTGTGAGAGAGAGAGAGAGAGAGAGAGAGAGAGAGAGAGAGAGAGAGAGAGAGAGAGAGAGAGAGAGAGAGAGAGAGAGAGGAGCAGAGTAGTTCATAATGTTAATTTGAATGCTATCGATGGTCAGTTGATAAACTGGCTGATGTAGCATCTCATTCCCTGAACATTTTCTACTGTTGGTTCTATGTTAGAAGGACAAGGAAATACAAGTCTGACATCAATGAATGATGGAAGCTTCAAAATGTTTGCTTAACAGGCATGCTTAGATGTGTGCCTGCTGGATGGTTTTAAAGCCCACCAAATTGATGAGACAAAGCACCACAAAGCTGATACAAGGGCTTTTCCACTTTTTAATTGGATCCTTTGGTGTTTTAGAGACTTGCTTCTTGAGTTCTTTGTAAATTTGAATATCATCTCTGTCAGATGTGGGATTAGTGAATATCTTTTCCCATTCTGTGACCTGCCTTTTTGTCTTGTTGACTGCGTCCTTTGCCTTACAGAAGCTTTTCAGTAATTAATTGTTGATCTCACTGTGTGTGCTACTGGTGTTATGTTCAGGAAGCAGTCTCCTGTACCAATTCATTCAAGGGTACCTCCCACTTTCTCTTCTAAGTGTTTCTGTGTGGCTGGATTTATGTTGAGATCTTTGATCCATTTGGACTTAAGTTTTGTGCATGGTGATAGACATGGATCTATCTGCATTCTTCTATATGCCAACATCCAGTTATGCCAGCACCATTTGTTGAAGATGCTTTCTTTTTTCCATTGTATATTTTTAGCATCTTTGTCAAAGATCAAACATGTATGGAGTACCTATATGGGTTGTGGAAGAGATATGGAAATGCTTCTGCTTGTTTACAAGAAAGGTAGGTAATTACTCTCTTCTAGCAGTATGCTACTGAAATGTAGTGATGTGTATGATATTTTTAAGGAAAGTAAAGTGTTTCTCATAATCTTTATTCAAATAATAAAACTTAAGAGGATGAGTCTCAGAGAAAGAAAGAACTGGGCAGCAGAGAGGCATGCTTGACATTTTAAAAATTCTCAGCATCGAAAAATTACATACAATGCTAAAATTAAGGAATACATCCAAGCAAGGATCAAATCTATATGTCTGCCAAAAGAAAAATAGTCTAAGAATTATGCCAAAGACTAAATTTCGAAAAGCTTTGGAAATAATATATCCTTTAGCCTCTTATTAATTGTTTTAGCTTCTGAGGGGGAATAAGGTCATTGTCCTTGTTCATTATGAGATCATTGTTAGGATCTGTTACTTATGATGTCACTTCCCAAGTAGACACACACACACACACACACACACACACACACACACACACACACAGACACAGACACACACACACACAGAGAGAGAGAGAGAGAGAGAGAGAGAGAGAGAGAGAGAGAGAGAGAGAGAGAGAGAGAGAGAGAGAGAGAGAGAGCATTCTGGGATTGCCTTGAGTAAGCATCATCATTTAGGGAGACAAAAAACTGCAGCAGTGGTGAGAGCGAGTTTGCAAGTCTTTTAAATACACAGCCAGGAAGCATTCTGGAACAGCTGTGTATCAACAAGCACATCTGAAAAGAACCTACAGAAAGGAATGATACTTCAGGAGACAGAGCTAGGAGTCCACAAGGTGCATGAATCACTGGCAGGTTTCTCTAGGCTCTTGCAGTCTTTTCTGGATTCCCAACTGTAGGGTGGGTCTTTTCAGAGCTAGTGTTGACCAGTACTTCATTTTTTGCCTCATGTTTTTTCACTACTTTGAACAGCAATGTAAAATAGCAGCAGTTCTATGTCTATATCTTGCTATTTTTCTGAAAGAAAGGACAAGGAGTCCTTTATTTCCCAGGCAGATGGCAAGTTGTTTTGCACTCTAGGATAATTAAAAACCATCCAGTGTTAGACCTAATATCATTCTTTGATTTGGTATTTTAAGCAGAGTTTAGAACAAGAAGTCTCTGACAGCTATGGAAGCTTAAAAGTTTTACAGACAAATTTCATGGGTGATGGAGACCAGAGAATAGCTATGGCATGAGAACCATTAAATTGTTTTTAATTTTTCATGTTCCTGATGGCCCCAACTTTATGCATGTTTTGAATTTACATACTCAGCATCAACATTTGATTATTTGATTAGTTATGATGCCAGTATATCAAGATAAACTGTAAAATATGGAGAAATAAGTAATTAAAGGGAAGGAAGTTAAAGGAAAAAAATCATTCAAAAAGTTGCATTAGAAATGTAGTAGATCGCCGGGCAGTGGTGGCGCACGCCTTTAATCCCAGCACTCGGGTGGCAGAGGCAGGCAGATCTCTGTGAGTTCCAGGCTGGGCTGGACTGACAGCCTCCAAAACAAAAAAAATGTAGTAGATTAGTATTTATCCCGGGTATACAAATGGACTTTGGACTCCCATCCAACAATGTGAGATGCACTCTCACCCTGAACTCTTGGGGGAGGGTCTAGGCCCTGCCCTGGATGAAATGACAGACTATGGACACCCCCTTGGAGAGCCTGAGGGGAAATGAGGGGGTGCTCGGGGGTTCCCCGGTGGGAGGACGCAGAAGGAGGGGAGGGAAAGGAAGAGGGACCTGGAATTGACACGTGAAGCAACCTTGTTTCTAATTTAAATTTAAATTTAAAATAAAAAAATAAAATAAAATAAAGAAATGTAATTTTAAGTGTATCTTACAATACAGACTTCCACCTGTCTGATTTTCAAAAGTGGCCACATGATATTCATAAAAAATATTTGTGAGCCAGGCGGTGGTGGCGCACACCTTTAATCCCAGCACTCGGGAGGCAGAGGCAGGTGGATCTCTGTGAGTTTGAGGCCAGGCTGGACCGACAGCCTCCAAAACAATACAGAGAAACCCTGTCTCGTAAAAACGAAAAAAAAATATTTGTTCACAAACCTGCAATTATGTTAAATTTCTACAAATACCTTATTTTTTAGAATCACAACTACAATTTTGTAGTATTATGTAGATAGACAACATAATAGTGTATAATGTTTTATTTTTTCTAGTTACTTTTTATGTGTGTAGATATGAAATATGAACCCAAATGGAATGATCATTCCATTTGTCAATTCAATTTCATATCCCTATATGCATAAATACATATTCATAAGGACCATGAAACCTACCCCAGGCTCTACTCAGGGTACCAAAGTGGAAATGCTTCTCAGAAATGAAGGAGGGGATAATAGATTTCTATAGAAAATTTACACACAATCTGAGGATCTTTCTCTTTATTTCCTGTGATCTTTATTGTTCTGTTTCTACTCTAATTATTCTTTCCTACTTCTGCATGCTTCTTCTTTCAGCTTCTTCTATTCTAAAATCTTCTCTTCTTCAGGGGCCTTGAAGAGATAATGAAGTTTCTCATTGGTCAAAAGCACATTCCTAGAGGAAGCAATAAGGAGCTGAGTCATTTATCATGACAACCCAAGACAAGGGTCTAAGGCCATAGAAACAAAACCACAACCAGAGAGAGGGAAGGCACAGTTCCCAAAGACAACTTTAGTACAGGTCTATTGCGAGTAGACTGTCAAGCGAAGAATTAGCATGCTTCCTCTCTTAGTAACCTTAGTAGACATCTGTGACTCTGACCTTGGGCAAGCTGTAAAGTTTCCTTTGTACAAAATCCTTTAGTCTAGTTTGAACTTGCTCTGAGGTGAAAGTGAGCTAATTTTATGCAGTTAATCTTAGTAAGAGAACAAGGCAGGCTATTAAAAGTTAACACTATTTAACACCTGCTATATCTCTTATGGCCCTGACATATGTTTGCCATTATTTCTTAAGCAATTAATTATTACTAAAGTATAAATACTTAATGACAGGTTTCTATAATTCAATCTTCCGGTTGTTTCTCTTGAAACATTTACGTAGAAGTCAAGTGGTCTCTAATGATGATGCAGCTACTACCTGAACTATTTGTGGTGTACGTAATTTAAAAATGCATACAGAGGACCTGGAGATATAGTTTGTTAAAATATTGTCCTACAAACACAAATCCCTGTGTTTAAGATGAAGTAACAAAGGAAAAAAGTCAAAAGAAAAGCAAAAACAAATGAAAAATCAAAAATATAAAGGCAGATGTGTCTTAGAAATATCCATGATTACATGAATTTGAGATGAGAAGAAGATTCAAGCTGAGAAAGTATACCATAGTCTTTTGGAAGGACTACTCTGGAATAACATGCAGGGTAAATATTTAGTGCCCTAAGACAAATAGTTTTGGTTTATAATGAAGATGTTATGATATGCCTTGAAGAAATATTTCAACAAGAAAAGGCTCTTTATAAATATGGGTATTCATCTAGAGATAATGGTGAAAAGTTCAATATTCATTTGAGCCTATAGCTTGCTATGCTTATAAAATAATTTATCACATTATAATCACATCTAATACATTTTACTAATTGTTTCTTTACGGCTTAATAGGGATTTGCCCATCAAAGCATCCAGCTTAAACAACGTTAATGAGATCAGACTTAATTTCTACCAGACTCAGTGAAATGAAAAAATTAGGCTAGCTTGACTCAACACAGCTGGAGAAAAGGCCACTCTCCGACCTTTCTTTGAATTGCGTGCCTATATTCTGTCATCACAAAACATGGCACACTTACAGATTGGCTCCACAATTCCATCAATAATTACTTGTTCTAGTTTGCTTTCTATCATTGTGATAAACACCATGATTTAAAAAAAAGCAATTTGAAGAGGAAAAGCTTTATCTGACTTTCCCATCCCAATCAGACCATTATCAGAAGAAATCAGGGCAGGAACTAAGCAGATGCAGATGGCGGAACTGTGCAGAGAAGTCGGGCCCTGGTTTGCTGGCCAAGGATTACTCAGTTTGATTTTTTTTTAATTTTATTTTCCAGTTTAAATTTAGATAAGAAACAAGGTTGCTTCACAAGTCAGTTCCAGGTCCCTCTCCCATTCCCTCCCTTCCTCCCGTGCCCTCCCCCCCGTTATCCCCTCATTTCTCCAGGGAGGGTGAGGCCCTCCATGGGGGTGTGCATAGTGTGTCATTTCATATAGGGCAGGGCCTAGACCCTTCCCCAAGAGTTCAGGGTGAGAGTGCACCTCACATTGTTCTATGGGAGTCCAAAGTCCGTGTGTTTTTAATATGACACAGAATTACCTTCCCAGTCATGACACTGAACCTCAGTGGGCTGAGCCCCTCCCTCACCAATCATTAATCAAGAAAGTGAGTCATAGACTGCCTACAAGTGTATTTGATGAAGGCAATTATGCAATTCAGGTTCTCTCTTCCTAGATGTATAAAACTCTCAAAAAACAGGTACATTTTTATAGTCTTGAATTCGTCATTCTGATGTTTGCCACATGTTTAATAGAGTTATTTTACCTCTTTGTAGCTAAGTTTCTTGTTTTATGCAAATAGAATAATAATTTCTTTGGCTTATGTTTGAGAAAATTTACTGAAGTCCTCCATAATGCTAAAGGATTTCACTTCACAGCATAAATACTAGTACTTAGGTTTTAACATGTTGTTTTGTTACTGTTCATACAGCCCCATTAATCTTCTTCAACTTACAGTATAATTTGCTAATTCTTTCTTTGACCAATGTCTTGCTTTCTAGGTTCTTAGAGACATGGTTTCATACAGGCCATGCAAATTTTCAATGTACCTCTTTCTAGCATGGAACTCCTAAATCCCTTGCCCCTAACTCCCAATTGCTAGGATTATAATCTATACCACCTATGCCTGTTTTCAGTCCTAATTGTGGCATAAGGATTCTTCATTTATTTGTATGAATTCAGTATATCTGAATATAAACTTGTTTAGTATGACGATAACCTAGACAAAATCAATATTAGTGTTACTGTCATGCTCTTTAAAATGTATTTATTTAACTAAACTTTCTGTTGCTCAACATTACAGAAATCGTCTTGAATGTCTCTGTTCCTCATGTATTAAGCAACCAGATGATTTTCAGATATTAAGGAAGCAAACTGTGATCCAGTATAAACTTTCAACTATCTGTTGCTTAAGAGAAAAATAACTGCATTGATTTTGAATAGGATCATGGTGAGATTAATGTTTTCATTTGTTTTTAACTTTTGCTCTTTCTCCTATATACATTAATTCTAGGTCTCACCATGGCCAGAAGTAGAAGTGGGAATTTTCAGAAGATTAAACAGAAAGAGAGAGAGAGAGCTTGTGTTAAAATTTGATATTGGAGATGACATTTTGTTCTGCTTCCTAGCAGTATCTGCAAATTACTGAAGCCTCAGAAGAAGTCCCTGCTGCATTTCTATATGGTTCAGTTTCTGTTTGATTACATTTCTCTACACTCTCTAATGTCTTTTAATCATGGGGATTCATAATGTGACTTAGTTCACTTAGCCCAGTTTTTGGGTAGTTAGTACCATGCTACATTCTAGGTGTCCACTTTAATTTTAAAAAAGAAAATAAAACTTTCAAATCCTGTACCAACAGGTTTCTCTTGCTGCAGCATGTTATCACATGTGAATACAGGAAGACATTTATGTGTAGTTGTTTCAGTGGCGTCTCTAATCTCTCTACAGATTAGAGACATGTAGGACAGCATGTTTTCCAATTACTTCTCTACATTCCAGACCTCATCCCTTGGCTAGAGGTCGAAAGAAAAGACACACTGACTGCTGAATAGAGAACATTTATTATTCTACAAGACTGAAAACAGTACTGAGTTAGGACCTCAAAAGACATGGTCAATCTAACATGCCAAATTTTAACTTTTGTTCCATTTGTAAATCACGCAGTGTTTAAATCATTAAGCTTGTTTGTTTTTCTATATATATCAAACATGTACTGAAGTTGAATGTTAGTCATTTATCCCAGGAGCTAGCATATTATTAACATCTTCAAACATTCTCTAGTTCTGTGCATTTCCTTGACTATTCTACCCAGTGTCCCCCTGCTATAGAATTTTCCATTGTCTCTAGTACATGGGAAGGCTATATCTTCTTAAGAACACAGGGAACTAGATAATCTAGCTCCTTCTCTGAATACAGTAATGACAGGAATATGGTTTTTAAGAAATGGGCAAATAGCAAATAGACTTGCTAAGAAGGGTCTTGCAGAGAAAGAATATTGTATTTTATGTTGAATAGAAATTTCTCACTGGTTGCCTGTCACTGTTGGTTAACACCCATTTCTCTTGCAGCTTGACTTGAATGACGAAGTGCTTCTCTTCAACCTCCAACTGTGCCGTATTTCTTTAAATGCCTAAAGTCATTTTATGTGCAACACAATAAAGGGAATTGGAAAATTTCCTAATTAACGTATTTCTATTCGTCTTCATTTTCTTAAGATAGAAAAGTACATGTTAGCAGAAGAGTGAAACTCAGCTGTTGTGTTCCTGTTTTTTTGCTTCACAACTGGTTCTCAACCAGTTTACTGCTTTGTTTTAGTATTAGACATTCTAATGATGATTTTTCCAAAGTTCAGAAATTTCTCCTTTTTATTCTATTACACAGTGTTACAACTTTTGGGGTATTTAATTTTTTCTCTAAATACAGAATACTTGGATATTCAGCAAATATTTGAAAATAAATATTACCCAATTATTTATATTTATTTCACAAATATATTCTACCTAAAGCATTTTTTATCTAAATAACTTCTTTTGGTCTTCTATCAGTGATCCACACATGGAAATTTTACTGTTCTTCTTCAAACTTTTACAGCCAATTGTTTGCAAATCGAAGTGACAAAACTTGACAAGATTTTTATTTCCATTTTTTCTTTTTTGCAATTCCAATACCTCCATTTGGAACTCATTATTTTCCCCCTGAATTGTTGGGTTTCTTCGTAACCAATTTCCTTGTCTCCAATGTCTATTCATTCAAAGTAAATGAATTGTATACTTGCTACCAGAATAAGTCTTTTAAAGCAGGATTTCTAAATTTTATTTCTCTCTATTATTCAAAGATTTTCTGTAACTCCTGGATGCATGTGTGAAAACTCACTTATGCCTTTGCTTTCATGGATTTGCAAAGATAGTTTCATAATTATCCTGTCATATAATCAGAATAAATTTATAATTCCTGTCCTTATACCTGGAGGTTGTAAATCCATCTTTTGTTCTAGATGTATCCCTTTGCAGCCTTCTCTCTCTCATCACACACACAACTCATATTCATTTCTACACTGGTACTATCTTTCCTGCACTCACAATGCACCTTCATGGCCTGTGCTATTTATATCGTAAACATCATATTTTGTTTAATTTTATTTACCAAAGTCATGGCAATAGATATATGACAGAGAGGTGATTAGATGGATAGATATAGATTAGACAGACAGATGATAGCTGACAGCTAGAAAGATAGATAGATTCACCTAGGATACAGAGATGAACAAGCAAATAATGTTATACTTGTAATTGTTTTCAGAAACCACATGTATATTATTTTCATATTAACATTGGCCAAAGTGACATGAATGATGATTTACTATCAGAATTCACATTTTAAAATCCCAATTCCAAGATAATGAGGTTATACATAGGATTTAGGAGTGGGTCCTCAAAAGACATTAGGTCTACAAATACTTTTGTTTGGATTTCTCAATACTCAGAAATGGTTTAGTAGTGTTCATGTAAAAGACCTATTTCTCAAAAAAGTTTGTGGTTGTTTTGGCTTGATTCTTTGTCCAAGATTCAATTAAAGTTAGCAATTTACAAAAAGATAAAGATCATTCTTGGCTCTCTAACATAAGTACTTTCTGAAGGACTTTTGAAACACCATGAAAAAATTCCTTTTAGCTCTACTTTCACACATATGTTATACTTTTCTAGGTGTGTATACATTTCCATTGCAAAGCCTATCTTCAACATTATTTTTAGTACACATTTTCAGAAAAGATGTTTGCCTCCTAACAATGCACAGATACCAACTCCTGTCTCAGATTCATGAAATCACTCAGTTTTACGTTCTAGTGACAAAAGGGAATTTATTCCTTTTTACAGACTTAAAAACTTGCCCCATCTCTCTAAGTATTGCCATTATGACAGCATGCTTTCCCCAAGGAAACATTCTTCTTTGAATTATCTGTTATTTAGCTTGACATTTTAAGCAATATAGTTTATAGTATTTTTATAATAGCCTGAGAAGGCCAAGGCATTGTCCCACAAGATAAATTAATATTAATTTCAATTAACAAAATCTCTTTTTAATGAAATGACACCTTAAGAAGTAGTAAACAGTAGCATAAAAGCAATGAAATTGTAAGTCTCAGAGGACACTTAGCTATTAATACTCAGAACTCTTCTCTGATAGTTCATTCTGACCCAGCTATGTTTTTTGGACTGTTCTTCTATCATGTTATCTTGTAATTGAGCCTAAAAGATGCATTAAAAGTCTTGATGCCTCCAGTAGACTTTTGAAGTTTTCTGTTTAAACAGAGAGCTTTCCAAACTCAAACCCTTATTGAAGAGGCTCCAACATGTTTATAATTGTATAAACTAAAACCTGAACTATGTCATAGGCCCATATTCTAAACTGACCTCTAGCATGCACTAATCCAAAAGCAAAGAATGTCATCAGATAGTTTGTGAGTCTGCTAGCAGAGACTTCCACACTTTTCTGTAAACTGACTGTCTGAGACTATAACACTATATTTTACCAAGTTCTATGGGATTGCTACCAGGAATAAACTTGGTAGTTGAGAAAACTTGAAACCATGTTCCTAGGCTACAGTTGCCCTTATTGGTTCTTGAAAAAAACAAACATTTTCCTTTGAAGTGAAACCACTGGATTAACATTGGCTGGAAGAACATTTAAAAGTATTACTTCTAGCTTTGTGAAATGAATGATGTCTCAGCTAGATGGCAAGAGGGAAGATAAATTTACTTTTTCTCATGGAAAAGCAACCCTTCTATTTCAAATGATTAGGTAAAGGATGGCATCACTGGGGAGAACAAACTATTCTAATTAATCTTCCAGTATCAACGGTGACTGAAATTACAGACTTTCTCCAAAGTAATATGTAACCAAATATATGTTCACCATCTGGCTAAGTTTGGTGGACAAATAAAAGTAGCTACCAAACTATGTAGTTAGTAAAAGAACACATAAAAAATACAGTTAGAGTGTGCTAAAATTTAAAGGCAATTCTTACAGAATAAAAAAATACAAAAACATTTGGACAACTTAAACTACTGTTATTAAATAAACCTGTTAATGCACAGGCATCCATTACAATTTTTTCCTTTATTCCATTTTAAAGGAATGCTTGGTTTTAGAACAAGAAAATACAGGAATTATTATTTTATATAAGGTTATTAAGACTTGCTTTTAATTATTTGTATGTATGTGTATCTGTGTTTGGATATGTTTACTCAAGTGCAGGTGGGGTTGGATAAGAGTTGTCCATTACTTTATGTGGGCATAAAGAAAAAAACTAGGATCCTGTAAAAAGATGCATACATTCAACCACTGAGATATTCTTCTAGGACAAAATAAGTATTTGAATAGACAACGATTATACACAGGGCCCATTTAAGAAATCTTATTTATATTATTCAAACAATTAATTTTAATTAAAATATAACATGTAGTTTTTGTGTGTATTCTTGTTTTTGTTAGTTTGGTTTTAAGGAGAGAAAAAAATGAACATAAATTTGGGTGAGTAAGGAGGAGGATATCAGGAAGGAATTTGAGGAAAAGTGAAAAATTTATAAAAAGGAAAAAATGTAGAAAAGAAATATGTTGCTAAAATATTTAATAACAGTACTCTTTACTATCTTTCTATTAATGAAAATGATCAACTTACTATGAAGGCTAATATTTATCACACTCACCAGATTATTTTTTCGTTGCTAAAACAACACATTATAAATGTCCACACAGCCCGGTGTTGGTGGCACACACCTTTAATCCCAGCATTTGGGAGTCAGAGGAAGGCAGAACTTTGTGAGTTCAAGGTCAGCCTGGTCTACAGAGCAAGTGCCAGGACAGCCTCCAAAACAATATAAAGAAACCCTGACTCGAAAAACAAAACAAAACAAAAACATAAATAAAAACATAAATGTCCACACATGGTTTTAAAGTAAAAAAAATAATAGCATAATTAAGGTGAATTTCATAATTCTTTGAAACCAAAAGAATGAGACAGAAGAAAGGAGATCTAGCCAGAGATGTACAGAAGGATGGATGACACTAGTTGGTGACAGTAATGAAAAACATCGTATTTGCTATGACTTGCCAAGTTGAAAGAAATGAAAATATAACATGCCTCTAGCATGGGATAAGCCCTGTGTGAGAGCAACCAAGGAAATGATATCAGTCAATCGACCAACTGGACCTGATTTGAGCCAATATCAAGATAAGTACTTCTTGTGGTTTTGTCTCAGTATCAGAAATTAAGGAACAAACTTTTTTAAAAAATTTATTTTTAAATTGAAATTAGAAACAAGGTTGCTTCACATGTGAATCCCAGATCCCTCTCCCTTTCCCTCCCCTCCTTTCACATCCTCCCACCAGCCCCTTTATACCCCCTCCTTTCCCCATGGAGGGTGAGGCCTCCATGGACGGGTCCATAATCTGTTATTTCATTCAGGGAAGGACCTTAGACCCTCCCCAAGAGTCCAGGGAGAGATTGAATCTATTTCTGGGGGTTAAACCAGCCCAGTCCTAATTCCTTTGCTCATCAGTCCTCTCTCTCTGTCACTGGGTTCCTTGAGTTCATCTCAGTGTTTAGCTGTGGGAGTCTGCCTCTGCTTCCATCAGCCACTGAATGAAGGTTCTGTTTCCCAGACTCTCTGGCCTTGGGATTGTAGGTTGGCACTCCCCAGATCTATGTCTAAAATCCATATATGGGAGAGTACATGCCATGTTTGTCTTTTTGTGACTGGGTGACCTCACTCAGGATGGTTTCTTCTAGTGTCATCCATTTGCTTGCAAATTTCAGGATGCCATTTTTTTTATGCTGAATAGTACTCCATTGTGTAATGTACCACATTTTTCTATCCACTCTTCAGTTGAGGGTCATCTAAGTTCTTTCCAAGTTCTGGCTATTTTAATAATGCTGCTATGAACATAGTGGAACAGATGTCCTTGTGTGAATGGGCATCTTTTGGATATATGACTAAGAGTGGAATTGCTGGGTCTTGTGGTAGGTTGAGCCCCATTTTCTGAGGAATTTCCATACTGATTTCCAAAGTGGCTGTATGAGTTGGCAATCCCACCATCAGTGTTCCCCTTTCTCTAATCCTCTCCAGCATAAACTGTCATTGGCGTTTTTGATTTTAG